CGCTGCATCTGCTAGTATATTTAGATTTTTTAATACAATGTATTAAGTAATGGAAAAATCAAATGGAAAATAACGATTCTTTTGTCCGAAGGAGATTGCTTGATATTCTGCAAATGTCGTCCTGATTTGAGGATTGATTCAGGGAACCACTATTTGTGGAAAACGATAGGCATTCATATAAATAACGCGAGAGCAATCTTTTCGTTAAAACAACCATCAATTTTCATGCATTAACTGTTTTTTATTTAGTAATATTGAACGTTTATATGATTTGTACTATATTCTCAAATGGCAATAAAACAGTTTATTATTTCACCGTTTTGATAGTTAAGAGGCGTTATAACGTAAATTATTTCAACTGTTTAAATAGTGTCATTAGTCGCCAAAAACGCGTTAAAACAGTTAAAGTTTCAACGATGTCAAGCGTTTAAACGTTCAAAATGTGTTAAAACTCAAATTTTCATAAACCGTTTAAACGCGTTTTTGGCGACTAATGACACTGTTTAAACAGTTGAGATATTAAGATGTTTAAACGCCGTTTTTGCCGTTTTGTTGTCTGCCCGGGTAAACCGGTTTCTATGCATTTTATGAGAAATAAGTCTCGAAAGCGACCTCTAAATTATCTTGTAAACGTTGATCTAAATTCGGGGCACACTTTCGTGTTCCACTACGCGTTCATACTAGGCCGTTAGATAGCTTTAACTTATGTTTTTACAGGTGAAAATCAAGTTTAAAGATCTTATATGCATTTTCTATACATTTTCAGTTTATTTTCACACATAGTACTAAAAAAAAAGTTATACAAAAAAGTAAAACACAGTAAAGTAAAATTTTCTATATTCTTATTCTCTATTTGCAAAAGCATATCACTTACATCAATTTCTGATATAAACTTCTTTATAAATTCCTTCATCAATATAGACATTGCAACTTTTGTAGAAACTGAAGCTGTACAATTAAGTATTTTTTTCTTTTGTCATTCACAAAAGGTAATAACAATATTTTCTCGACTTAATTTAGCCAAATTTTCTTTAAATGCATTTATTTTGATATCATCTTTTGCTAAATCATATAAATCAACCGGTGTAGAATCTATAATAGCTTTTATACATGAATATTTATTCTTCAATTGGTGCATTTTTTCGTATTTGAGTTGAGGATTTAAACATATTATACATAAGCAGCTTCTCCAACTATCATGATTAGGTTTTTGGATGTAAGATGGAACATATCGTGTAAATGTAACATAATCAATATCAATATTACTTTCTAATTCGAATTGTTGATGAAGCATGTTCAAGTGATTAAGACGATATTGGATTTGATGACCACCGATTTGTTTGTGTTTATCAGGACATAACTTTGAAATGTCGTCACGAGATAGAAAATCTTCAATCTGAGTTTGAAGTGATGACTGTGATGGTTCTTTTGGTGCACTTCGTTTTGAAAGATTAATACCAAATTTATGTTTGATTTGATCTGATATACCACGAGAAAGATTTTCTTTTTTTATCTTTAAAACATAATGCAGCACGTTTTTTGGCATTTGGACTAACATTATCAAAAAAAACTTTTGATGGTGAATCATGTGGTGGTGTTAAAGGTCGAGATGCACGAAGTTTTTCAACTTCTTTTGTTAATGTTCTTACTGTCTCTCGTAATTCAGCATTTTCATTTTTTAATTTTGAAATATTCATTCTTCGACGTTTTTGACCTTCTTTTTTTCGTAAATCAGATGAGTTTGAGCTGGATGTATTTGGTATTGATATAGTTGATTGTTGTTGTTCCTTCTTTTTTCGACGTCATTTAGCTTGAATTGCTGCTCTGTTTTTCTTCCATCCCTTGTCAAACTTCTTTGATAGAATTCGTTTTATTCTTATTCTTTCAGCATAAGCCTGTTCTTTAGACATGAAATTTTTGTTCCTAGATCGTTTAATCTAAAACTGTAAATTATCTATAATCATGAGTTAAAACTTTTTGTGACACTCAAAAAGGCGGATTCAAAGTGCACTGGAGTCGTATATTAAATTAATACGTTACTTTTCAAATACTGGTCTTCTAAACCGTTGATCTAAACCCTTATGGTAGTTGTTATTCGAATAGGCGACCACGTTCATACTCTAATGCACTAAACTTATTTTAAAACCGAGTAATTTTTTTCCGAAAGTATAGATGGAATTATTTTTTACAGCGGGACAATATCGAATCCTGTGAAACAATACCTAATTTGACGCACTTTTAGTTGAAATGTCGCATAAGAAAGGTGAGTCTACATGTTTTTAAAAAAAAGGTGAGTCTACATTTCGTCATACAATGTAAATTTCTCGCGAACGGTAAAAGATAGACGGCTGAATTTTTTACTACTTATACAACTCTGAAATCTATATTTATGGTAAAAATTTGAGCGAAAACAGATGAGCTGTTCAAAAGTTATTAGCGATGAAATTTGCAAAAAGTGAGTCTACAAAGTGAGTAAAACTTGCATTTTTCGAAAAAGATTGTGTTTTTAACAAAGAGGAAAGGTGTTCGCAAGATGTTGCTTTTATTAATTTGTTTCCCGCCCGACGGTCTTTCTTTTGAAACCCTTCCCACTTCGTCAAGTCATAGTCAGAGGGAGAAAATTAAAAACCAAGGTGAGTCTACACGAAAATTAATAAGTGTGTGTAATTATGTATTTGAAGTGAATGAATGTGAAAAGAACAGTAAAGAAAGACAAAAAATATATCATTTGAAAGAACGTTTTAGGCTGCACAAAATGGACTATTCATTATATTTTTTCTCTTTTTTTTTATACTAAGAAAATATCCTTTTCTTAGCACGTGTCCA